GAAAGCCTCAGTAAAATGCTAACAACTGACTTGATTTTTCCATCCAGCTCAGCAAAGCGAAGGAAATGAGCTATCCATTGCAGAACTTACTGCTCAAGCTAGATGTCATTTCAGCTGTTTGGAGAGCCAGTACCTGCTGCAGCCAGCACCACAAGGCTGGAAACAACCTTGGAAGAAAAGGCCACATTTACACTCTTACGTGCGACTTGCCAGATAAGGCTCTCGTAATTGTGACGTCTCAGCAAATGAGACCGAAGTTCGGCAAGAGTTACCCTGGTCTGTCAAAGCAGTAAAATGGAAACACAAGCAAATTGCCCAACAGATCTCCTGCACACAGCCCTGAGAAAAAGGCAGTGTCAGTAGAACATCAGTGATTAATCCTCTCAAGAATCTCAGCTCAACAGGGCAATCCGTTACCATCCTTTCTGCTGCACTGTTTCCATCAAAAATTAAATCCCTGCTGAGCATACTAAAAACCAGCATCGTGCTCCTTATTATTGTAATTGTAATTTCCTAGTTCCCTTTTGTGACTTAAAAAAAGTCTTCCTTTCTCAACCCATAGACTATCTAGATGCATGACATAATTGTTCTCCTCGTTAGAAAGAACATTACTCATTATAGATCAAAGAACAAGCCAAAAAAAAAAAAAAAAAGGAAAAGTGCGCTGGGAAGAGTATATGATTCACACTCTGAAAAACAATTATGTGCCTGACAAGAAAACTGTGTTTTGGGGCGCTTCCCAGCCCAGACATCAAGGAAAAGCAACTTGTCTGCTGAACAGAGAGAAGTAGCCATCTCAATCCTCTTCGAAATACCACCCCCTAATACATGACCATTGCTGAGAGGGCAGATCAGCATCATGCACATATTTGCTTCTCCAATGACTCTCTAAACTCAACCATCATATCTAGAACTCCTTCCCCCATCAAATTTGTATTAAGCCAGGGCCCTCACTTTGCCATCTCCTGCCCCACACTCCATAGCCAGACTCTCCCAGGCAAAACTGCCCTTACTCCAGAGCACATACACCAGTCCTCTTGGCTAAACAAGAAGTATTGCCTTAGAAATAAATTATGCTATTTGTCACGACACACATGGGAAATACTTACAGCTCTGACTCGCAGAAGGTGTGATATGACAGACTGCAGTTCATCGCTATAGTGTTTTAGCTCAGTAAATCTCCTGGGAGCAGGAAACAGATAGTACATCATTAGCCATCACGAAAGCAAGCTTTCACAGAACGCAAGATAGAGACACAACGCTCCAGCCAGCAAGACTGAGCCCGGATTATGCTAAAGTGGAATTAGCTGAGGACTCCTACAGCAATGACTGCAGAGTTTAATTTCCCTAAAACAAACAGCCCAACACTTGCATAGCTTGTTACTTTATGTACACGATGAAGGCTCAGAACAATTTAAGATACAAGATTTTAATGACATAAGTAGTTAACTGAAATTGCATCGCATTGAGTTTTTGCTTTTAAAATAGGATTTACAAGAACAAGCGTGAGTGTGTAGGAAAGCTTTAAGTAGTACAAAGCCCCAACCTGCTGAAGCACCCATACTTCTCAATAAAAATGTGTTCACATGTCCAACCTGACAAAGATCCTTTACTTTGAAGCTGCCATCTAGCCAGTTTTAAGCACAGCCTTTCAGAAGGTCAAGGCAGCACTCACAATTACCACCATCGCTCTAAGGCTAAGCCATACGGTAACTGTTACCAGTTGTATATGAAACCCTCTGGAGAGCTGTACCTGCACCGGAGTCACGCACGGCCAAAAGCCATCAAGTCGCTAGAGCTCAGCAAGGTACTGGTCAGGTAACCCAGTGCAACTGGCCCTGTGTATGCTGCTGATCTGCCACTACTAGTTAAGCCTTGACGGCAGTTTAACTTGATACACTTAGCCCATCCTAATCACAAAGCGGTGGCAGCTGCTACAGCTTCTTTAGCGATGGGTAACCAATTAAAGCCACAGTAACAGCCAGTTCCGCACACATAAACCCTCCCTGCCGTGCACGAGTAGGCTGATGTTCAAGCATTAAAAAAACCTCATCCCCCCTCCCACCACAGGCACACAGTCAGGCTTTGTATTTCGGAATAGTTTGCACCCAAGAGGTCTTACTGAAATGAGTCAGGTCACTTCTTTTGGGTGACCAAGTATGAAATTCCAGGGGTTTTTATTTAACACCTCATCTTCCCCTGCCAGGAAGTCTTCCCCTAAAACATTCGCCTTCTTACACTCAGGAAGTTGAAGCTTTATTACCATTTCTAATATTTTTGATCTCCAAGGAGCATCTTTTATAAGATTATGACATACATAGGGTTAAAGTACATAAAAAGATTTAAAAGCCAGCGGAGGAACTGTATGAGAAAAATAAATACAGCCATTGATCTGCACAGTGGGGTTTAGAGAGCAATCTTTTCAGTTTACACTTTATAAAACATGCACCAGGGCTGCATGTCAGACAGCTGCAGACACGTACAGTGAAGATATTTGAAATAATTGAACTAAAAACAAAAGATTAAAAAGCATGCCTTCAGCTCAGGAAGACTCCCCCTTCCACTCCAGAAATTTATAACAAAAAGTTTTATTTATCCTGCTTCATGGCAAGAAAGGATTTTGTACTTTTACGAATGCCATACTCCCTGAAAGCAAGAGTCAGGAACCTAAAGAACTTTCAATAACCTGGACTACAGCAGCAATATATCTTATCGCCATGCCAATTCCTCCTCCATTTAAAAAACCAAAATTATAATTTAAAAAAAAATACGAGTTCAGAACCAAGCTGTCCTCTCATCATCTCAGAAAAGCATAAACCAGAGTGATACTGTTTTTGCCCAATCTTCTGTGAAGGATGAAAAATTTTACAAATACACCTTTTCAGGAAAAAATGGTTTTAAGAGACCAGAGGTGTTGCAGATCAAAGGTTTGTTTGTCAAGTATTTGCTTAAGTCTTACTCATTGCTCAGGTAAGAAAATTACATAATTCTAAAGTAATTTGCAAACGGAGTTAGGTAAGGCACATAAAGGGACATTTACTTCCCCGTGCACCACAACAGCAGAAGTGTGAAACGAGACATCATTCCGGCACTCAGTACCTGAGGATTTTTGAACTAGTGCTTTTCACTTGGTTTTACTGGTTCTGCAACACTACCAGCAGTCTAGATATTTCACTGAGCTATTAAACAGAACTCCAGACACCAATGATCAAGTTGCATTTCTGCAGGATCACCATCAGGGTTTCTTCTCAGAAATTATCTTTTATAGTAATGGCAAAAGAAGAAAAGTTCATTTACAGTAGATAGGAATCTTGAGTTCCTTGGATCTCAGGAAATGCTTCCTCACGGAGAGGGTGCTCAGCACTGGGATGCACTGCCCAGGGAAGTGGTGGAGTCGCCGTCCCTGGAGGTGTTTAGGGAGAGGCTGGATGTGGGACTTAGTGCCGTGCTCTGGCCCATGTGCTGGTGTTGGGTCATAGGCTGGACTTGGTCATCTCTGGGGTCACTTCCAGCCTCAAAAATTCTGTGACAGCATTTCATCACTTTGTGCATTTGACTCAGCAGTACTCCTTCCTACATCAGAGAGGGCAGTGCCATTTTTCTGTTTTGTGAAGGAAGACATTACAAGAACAGAACTATTCACTAAAGAACAAGCCACTTGTCTGCCTGGCCAGACAAAAAAGGAGGAGTTACTTTTTTTTTTTTTAATTAATTCTGCGTTCGGAAAGTATTTAGTGCTTTCTAAAGACAGCTTTCAACAAGAAAGCTCATGTTTTGATTAAAGTACAGAAAAAGAACAAGAGGATAGGTGCCACAAGGACAAAAGAGAGAGGTCTGCAGTAGATACAAATTTACCTCCAAGTACAAAAATACCACGTTTTTATCATCTTATAATTAAAGATATTAATTTCTTCTTGCAGGAGGAGGCTTAGTTTCCAGTCTACATCTGAACTCCTAGAGCAGCATTGTTTCAGCTGTTTAAAGCTCCTCACATTGCTCCAAGCTGAAGGGTACAGCTCCCCGGGACCACGAGGCAGCTGGGACTGGGAAGTGAGCTCTGCTTCACCTGAACCCTTCCCGGTCCAGGAACACAGAAGCCTATGCTCTGCACAGTGGTTGGATCTTTTGCTTCAGTAAGGTGAGCTTGCTGAACCCACTTTACCACTCAGTCGCACAAACACCAAAGGTAATGCAGAAGAGCAAAGCATGAGACTCCGGGCAGCTCAAGCTAAGTGTGCTGGGCAGAGCAAGGCACTATTTCTCCTACTAGGGCCACACGTTATGCTAAAAAGCTCTCCCTAAATTTAAAAAAAAAACACAAACAAACAAAAAAATCCAACCAAAACCAACCACCCCACAAAAGATGTGCTCATCAGTTATTTATTAAACAATTGGTATTCAAAATTTCATTTTGGAAGCTACACAGCTGGCAAAATACAACAGAAAGCACCGTGCCGTATCTCAAGTGCTGTGCTCTATTGAGAGATACTCAGTGACCGGTTTTGCTACAAACCCTTCCTCCTGTTTTCCTAGTATTAACTGCCGTGAAAGCAGGAGAAGCAAACTGCTACCAGCCACAGGTGAAGATGATGGAGGATGAAGCATTCAGACAAGGGGCCAATTTCACCTGTAGATACCGAGAGAACCACCATCTTTCTAACTCATTTGTGAATGTTATTTTTTCTATTAAAGCCCAGCTCAAAGCTTCCATGCTGTCACAGAAGGCTGCAAGAGCAAACACAATTAAAAAAGAAGGACTGGATCCATTCAGAGATAAGTGTATAAAGATGTTTAGAAATCTATGTGCCCTTTCACATCCTTAACACAACACCCACAGACCCCAGGGAAGTCCAAAGGGAACAGACACCAGAAAGCGGCCAGACACAGGGATTCTCCCCAAATAGCACCTCCTGTTGCCACCACTGGACAGTAGATGAACCTAGACGGGCACTTCGTGTGGGTCTCTGTCGCTTATTGACAGCAACATCTCTTGATCTGACTCCCACACACTGATGTTTCCAACGACTTCAGAAGTCAAAACTCTTCATTTACCCTCCTCACATCACCCGGGGTGCAACAAACCTCCCGCTACACACCCTGACACTTCTGACTGTTTTTCTGATCCAGCAGATTGCTCCAGTGCCTGTCCCAGAGCTTCCTAAACTGCAACAGAGCTGAACTGACCTCCGGACTTCCAAAAGCATCTGTGAAAATTGGCAGCTGGAAAAGAACACTGAACTGTAACACCAGGGTGAGTGCATACAGAACTGTACACTAGCAGATTTTTGGAAAGAGCTAATACCAATCTGTCTTCTGTTCACGCTTGGAAATATTTCTTTGCAAACAAATATTAAGAGGTTCTTTTTCTGGGTCTGTTGTTCGGGGTTTGGTTTCGGGGTTTTTTTATCTCTTTCTTTTAATCTAGCTAAAATGAAAGATTCATTTTGCATAAAGTGATGGCATTTTTCTGAATGCTCCCTGCTCCTAGAAACAGGATTTATCAAATCTTTTCCCACTACCTCCTCACTGGGCTTCTGTTAAGATTTGAAGTGCAGAAAGATAATTTTCTTTCTTGACTTTATTCTAAGGCAATAGAATATTCTGTCATTTGAAGTTACAGTTGTAACTGAGGAAGGGAAAAGAAGAAGGATGTGGAATCTTACTTGTCTGGGTTTTTCACTCTGAATGTTGCATTAAGAGCTTTTAATCTGGAATCTGCCTGAAAAAAGGGGAAAAAAGAAAGCTTTGTTAATTTAATGCAATTAAATTCTAGTGACAAAAAAATCCCAGTCTTCTTGCAGCACCATTAGAAAATAAAAATGAAATCTGCCTTCCTGGCATATTTAAATCTTCAAACATTGAACAAGTTGACAGTGGCTGCCCTGCATGTCAGATTTTTTTTAATAAAAAGTTAAAAAATCTAAGTTATTTTTGTGAACTAGGATGTAAACAGTATCCACTAAAATTAAGATGGCATAATCCAAATCCTACAAAAATAGTCCTTTCTTAAAATGTTACACAAATCACGGAGTTAAGATACACAGCCCTACATTCTTTTTAGATGAAGCAATTAGGTAACATGAGACCATATGGACAAACTATTTTATATTTTTCAAATCAAATAAAACCGGTGGTAGTGACCTCTGTATGTTCTTTATTACTAGGAACAGTTCCCCAGTGAAATCAAAATCATATATATGTTCTCATGTTTTATGACTTGCTTTACAGAAAATATGTCATTTGTAGATCGGAATAGAGCTATTTTTAATACAATGTTCTTTTCTACATCATAGCATATATAAATCTCTACAAAAGCAAGTTCAATACCTAATTAAAAAGGTAATTTGGCTACTTTACTCTTGGAGATGTTGGTTCACCAAAGATGGGACAGCAGTATGGAATCTCGCTAAGGAGTTTGTAGAGGGTTTTCTTCTTTTTTAGTTTAGTTGAATATTAAACCATGCAAGAGATATCTGCTCTTAGTAGGACACCAACACACATACAATATCCCAGCCTCATCCACAGGATCACAACTTTTCACTTCTGTACGGTATTTCACATACAGCTCGTGCAGGGCTCATCTATACTGCATGAAAGCCTGGGGAAAAAGGCTGGAGCTTGGTTTTCGGTCAAAACATCCCTCTTTTCCGTGGCAGGATAATAAATGAACATATCTTGGGAGGTGCACAGGTTTCCTAGAGTGTACTCTTGCAGCTAAAGGGCTGTGCCACAGCTGCCAGCAGGAAGTTACACCAGCAGTATTTGTTAGCACTGGTATGGGGCACGGGAATACTTTGTGCACTGTAACAGCTGACATGGAGCTTGATGAGCTATTTTGAACTTGACAGTGAAGGGAACACAATGTCTTCCCGAACTAAGAACAGTGTCCTTCCTCTAGGGCCTTTTCAGTAACTTCTACAGATGAGACGGGCACTGTTTGAGCCTGTTCCACCTCCCCGTGCACTAGGGCTGAGCAGAAGATAGCAGTATTTGAGTATCCCTGCAGATTCCTTACACCGGGAACCACCTCCCTATCTGGAGGATGCCTAGGAGAGCATCCAAGGTGAGGGAAAAGTAATTTCTTCCAACTAGGATAAGAGGTACTGATGAAAATCCTACTAACGGGAGCTGTCCTTCCAACCACCAAACCACCAATACGTAACATAACCCACAAACTAAGCGAATGAGAACTGCAAGACTAAGCCTGACTGGTATGGTAAGAAAACAGGTTCACTGTTACTACTACGTGCAGCGCTCCTCTAAGAGTATCTTGAAAAGGGAAGCCAACAGCAGTATGGGGAAGCATGTCCTCAGTGGCACAAGGAACACAAAACACTGCAGTAACTCAGGCTCTCAGACCAGGCTTTAGGTTTACTCAGTGTGTTCCACAGGCTTGTAAGGCCTTGGACCTCCACCGCTCTACCCCCACGAGGCAGGACACAAGCCAGTTAGATTTCAGGTGATTCAGACAATCCTCACACAGTACAAACACCACCTAATTATAGTGACATAAAATCATAGTCCTTCTATGTAGCAGTCCTGTAACTATTTCACAAAGTCTTTCATTTATGTTCCAACAGCAGTCACGAAAGACATTCGAGCTTGTTGGGACAGCACGCACGATCAGTAGATTTATATCAGAAAAGGAATGCTTCCTACATTACGATCACAGGGCGAGTTTTTTGCCTTTTGTTACAGGCACACGTAGTGCTCTGAAGGAAAAGCTCCATAAGCACACAAGCACTGTCAGGCAGGAACCGAGATCCTGCCAACGCTCAGCCACCTAAGTAGGGTTATTTCCTTCCTGCCATTAACAGCACAGCAACTCCCACACACCACTCTGAGCATCTGCACCAGAGTTACACTGTTAGAAAAATGTCTGTCCAGTCTTAAACTTGATTTAAGACTAATAAGCACACGCGTTTTAGAGATGAACTCCCAGTCCAGCGAGGTACAGTCAAGGAGCTTTCAGACAGTTAATTCCTACTGCAGTCCCATAATCATTTAAGTAAACTAGAGAGAGGGGAATTTTGTCCTTCCTACAGGAAGAGTTAAAATCCCAAGTGACAAATCCCTTATAGAATAAAGTTAAGTGCTGGGGGTGGGAGGGAAGAAAGGCATGATTTACTGATACAGTTGGCAGAGTAAACAAAGTCTCCAACATCAACATTCAACTGTAACATACTGCCCTGCATTAATGCCCAATTTAAAGTTTAGTTAGCCTGGTTCACACCCTTTGGGACAAAAGGCACATCCTGCTTTAATGCAGGAGCAGCAGAGACAGCAGCAGCACATAAACCAGTGGTCTGATTCTAGTCTAAGAGATGTAATGAACAGAGGTTTGTCCTCCAGTGCAGTGCTAAATAACCTCCAATCTTGAGGGGTTTACACTTCAGATGCTGAATAAAGGTGAAATGCTTTTTCCCAGGCTTTTGTAAAAAGGTCTTTTTCTTTCCTAAGGAAACAGAAACTGTAAAAGGGCAGCTATATACACAGTCAAATCTCAAAGGAAAACAGGACTGGCTCATCTCTCCTTTCATCTGTAATATGGTTTCATCTTGAATTTTCAAGTATTCTCAGCATTCTGCTATGAGTTTTCTTTCATACATGCACCACTGTGCACTACTGAACACACCCCACCCACTACAAACTTTCCGAACTATGAGCGTAAGCTGAAATAAAAATGTGTTGGCTAGGAAAACACAGCCTGAGAGCTTTGTATTTTTTTCATTATAAACACTAGCAACATGCAAGCCCTACCATGATACAAGAGAATTACTGTCAACTTAAGTCATCAATATCAAGCTTCAGTACCAAAGCCCCTTGGACACTGAGGATAAAATCAACAGTGATTTTCTTTAGCTCTCACTATTTAGGATCATTTTTCATAATCCACCTAGTTTTCAGTTGTGATTTAGTGAGAGCTGATCACGTTACCATGAAACAAAAGCTCAGTATTTGTCTCCATATGGCAACTTTTCTAAGCACAGGTTCTCAGATTCTTGTCCTGTGCACACACAACCTTTGATCATTTATTCCTGCAAGACTTCCACTAGTTTAACAAGCCATGAACTCACTGGTGCCAATGGGGACAGTGCTACCTCATGACACATTCTGTTGAACAGTTAAAAGGCACTTATCAGCAACTTATCCTTGAAGAGAAGTCACACAACTCAGATGCTTCTGCTTGCAGTCTTCTGTTTGGGGTTTTTTTCTGTTGTTTTTTTGACACATTGCACCTCTTACCAGGATAAATCTGGCACCCATCTTTAAAACAATGCTAAACTAAACTGACAACAGACAAAAGCACCACTACGGACTCAAGTTGATTAGTTTTAAAGTTTCTAAGGATCATAATTCTATGTTATTTGCAGAATTACAAGTTTGACCATCAAACAGAGGAAGTCAGGATAAAGAGGAGTTTGCCTTGGTTGATGAGGACTGGGTTAGGGAACAGTTAGGCAATCTGAACACCCATAAATCCATGGGCACTGATGGGATGCACCTGTGGGTGCTGAGGGAGCTGGCGGAAATCATTGCTAGGCCACTCTCCATCATCTTCGGGAGGTTGTGGGCAATGGAGGAGGTGCCCAAGGTCTGGAGGAAAGTAAAAGTTACTCCAGTCTTCAAAAAGAGCAAGAAGGAGGACCTGGGTAACACAGAGCCTCACCTCCATCCCTGGAAAGGTGATGGAACAACTTATCCTCGGTGCTGTCTCTGGGCATATCAAGGATAAGAGGGTCATCAGGAGCAGCCGGCATGGTTTTGCCAAGGGAACGTCATGTTTCACCAATCCTTTTATGAGGATGTAACCAGGTGGATAGATAATGGCCATGCAGTGGATGTGGTTTATCTGGATTTCAGTAAAGCATCTGACACCATCTCCCACAGCACCCTCGTAGCTAAACTGAGGAGGTGTGGTCTGGATGATCAGGTAATAAGCTGGATTGTGATCTGCTTGAAGGGAAGAAGTCAGAGAGTTGGGGTCAATGGGACAGTTTAGTTGGAGGCCTGTTCCTAGTGGAGTCTCTCAGGGGTCGGTACTGGGACCAGTATTTTTCAATATATTCATCAATGACCTGGATGAGGGAACAGAGTGCACCATCAGCAAATTTGGTGATGACACAAAACTAGGAGGAGTGGCTGACACACCAGCAGGCTGTGCTGCTGTTCAGCCGGACCTGGACAGGCTGGAGAGTTGGGCAGAG